TCAGTTCAGTTTGCATTTATCCAATACCTACTAGGTGTTTGGGACTGTGCTATAGGGAGAGGGGAGTGCAGGAAATCTAAGTGCCTGCTCTAGAGGTGCTTACAGTGTAACTGAGAGGACTAAACCTCTCAGTTACACTGTAACCTCCTTGAACACAGAGATGACATAGATAAGAACCAACATTTATACAGTTTACAAAACCATTTTTCACAAATACGATCTAAGTTTTGCGAAAGTAACTGTTGGAGTAGGTGTTGCTACTCTCATCCTGTTGTAAAGTCATCAGTAACCTGAGACTTAGATAAGTAACTTGCTCAGACAAGTAAGGTAATGAGACCTACTATCAGAACTGGAAACTTGGTCCCTATGGTGTTTACGTGGATATTTCATTGTTTCTAAGTTAAGGAATATGCTAAAAGTGATAACCCTAAAAACTAAAGAAATACAAAATTAAAAGAGAAAATATACTGTTATACTAATGAAGGAAAGCAATTTTTTGCAACTAGTCTGACCCTTGGATCTTATTTTTTCACCCTATATTGTTAATGTCGACAGATCGCCTCTCTCCTTCACTCTTAGGGTATCTCAAACTTCCTTTTGGTTCTTTCCTTTTTCTTTGGTGATAGGGGAAGAGCTTCTTTGGAAGAGATCACTTCTTCTCACTTAAGTCACCTTTCTCTAGGAAGGGTGTCAGGAAAACTTTGCCATTAACATTAGCTAAGCAGCCCCTGAAGAAGGGTGAAGCCTTTTTAGACAGAGGAGTAATTGATGAGTTTTGGCTTGAAGCCAGAAAACTGTTGTGAAAGGCTTCATGTTACCACTTAGAGGGGTTGCAGGGCAGAATTCCTCTTCTCCAGCACACTGTCGCACTAGATGACTGCACTCAATCAGGAAAAGTCTGGAGCCAACTGTTAAAGGAAAGAATTTTTCACTCCAAAAAGGAGTTGTACAAAAGCCCATGGCTGTTAGGTTGCCACAGAGCTCAAGGAGCAAGCACCCAGATCTGCAACCAGGAACAGCTCGATGGCATCTACCCACGGAGACTGGATACTAATACATGTTGAACAGTGATAGCAGCAATCATTACAAGCAAAACATCATTATCAAATTTCTAGTTCAAGTTTATGCCAAGCTCTGAAAATAGGAACACTAGTTGTACTGTCAGTTAACACCATCTAATAAACACTTCTTCAAAACAGAACTAGAATGAACAGGGGAGAGAAGACAAAATAAGTCTTATAAGAGATACAACATATTAAAAAGAAACAATTCAGGGAATCACTTGTAATCAAAGCATGAAGATCAGAAATAACAAACTGAAATGTATAGAGATGGAGTTGGGATGTTGATTGCAAGATTCATGGGCTGCGATCAAAAAACTACTTTATATTTTGGCTTTTACCTTCTTTTAAAAATATTTATTGGGTGAAGATAATTTTCCCCTTCCCCTGAATGGAAAATTGGGCAGGTGTCTGACTTTTTGGTTCATTCTTCAATAATGGACAGTCCTTAATTAACAGTCACTTTAAGTCAGAAAAAGGTCTTGATTTAGTAATTAGAATGTTTCCAGTTGGAGATGGTAATCAAATACTTTGGTCTTCATTCTAAGGTACTAGTCTAAGTTCTCTCCTTCCCTCTCTCATGTACAGCCTCCTGTGGCTGATGGCTGCCTCCTTCAGCTTTCTTCTCAACTTTCCTCTTCTTCCACTAGCTAGCTGCTAATTGATCTGCTGTGTAAAAGTGGGAGAAGGCAGGACAACTAAGGAGATAGGGCAGTTCTGTTTTGTTAGAATGGGTCGGTACTACCTGGGCCTGGCAGATGGTTAAAGCCGACTCTTTTCTTGTAGGTGCTTTTAAAGATTCTTTAGAGATTCCCATCATCAGAGACCTCTCACTTGAATCCCTGACCTAGACAGACACAAGTGGTTGCCTGCAACAACCTCTGTAGGTGCTAGGGTGCCTGCATCCATCTCTAGTTTCTGGTCACTAGGTCCCTCTACATCTCAAGACAAGCCTTTTGAATAGCAATCCCCTGCTGACTGTTCTTTACCCCACATCAGGTCCAGGGAAACATTTGCACATTTGTCATCCTTACCGAATCTGGGTGTGCTGGTGGATCCCAAAGCAGCCACCTCTGTTTTGTAGCCACTGCCCTCTTTAATTTATAGGCAAAAGTCGGTGCAATTGTCTGTATTTTACAACTATGGCAAACAATTTCTAAGCTCCCTGGTCCCACAAAGCCCCTCTTCAGGCCTGAGGAGAAGGATGTAGGACCAGCACTGCCTCTCCCTCAGGGTGGGAAGGGATTGGGAACTCAACAACACAAGCACATTTTTCCACGGGAAACCTCTTCACAGACCCATCCTCTCTACACTCTCTTGATCTCACCATGAAGTAGAACTGTTCTTTAACACTAACTTTGCACATAAAATTTTTGTTGAAATGATGATCTTTAACTGCAATTGACTGTTGGCAAATCTGTCTCCCCACCCCTGATAATAAGGAAATGTGTCTATTCATCTTTGTCTTCCCTGCACTGTTGAACACAGAGCCTGGAATAAAGTAGGTTCCCAATAAATGTTTGATGAATATATGAATTAATGGATCTGAAACCTCCTTTGGTTGTGTGGTGGATTCTCAGAGGTGCTACAAAATAATCTGTGTGGATGGGCTAGTTTATCACTCCTTGGGAGACTAATCATAAGATGCTAGGATTTTCCCAGAATTTATATACCTTAGTATTTAGCTACAAAGAAATTTTGAGGGGTGAGACAACACAGGAAAAAATTATCTTTTTAAAGGAAGAAATGAATAAATAAACATGAGACAGTTCAAGTTTTTAGAAAACTAATGGGGTGTCAAATCAAACTTCAGAAAAAATTCCCCATACCCAAAAAATTCCCCCAAAGCTGTGGGAACTATAGATATTGTCTGAGTGGTTTGTTTCAAAATCCTAAAGTAGGATGAAACAACAAAGAGACAAAAAAATTAAATTTAAAATATTTGGCAAAATGTTAATGTGTTAAGTATAGGTAATAAGTAGTTCATCATGCTATTCTGTGTAGTTTTTTGGTATGCTTGAACATTTTTATAATACAAACAACACAAAAATTGAAGCTGGAAATCAGCAGTGTCTTTGCTTTGGAAAGGAGATGCCAGAAAAAGCAAAAATGGGACAGAAACTATGTAGACTTTACCATCTTTTCAGTAAGCCTTCATGGGTTCCATTAATATTGTAGTTATTATGATAGCCATAAAGCTGTTCTTATTTGGACTAGGGAGTAAAAATTTTGGAAGCAGGATTTTTTGCTTAGGAATTAGATAGATTCAGAATTTACAGAAATAAAGGGAAATTCAGAGGTTATTTCAGCCACTGCTCTCACTTTACAAATAAGAAAACTGATCCCCAAAGAAATGGAATGAAATAACTATCAGTCTTAGAGCCGGGACAAAAACCTAGGTCTTCTGGGCTCTGGTTTCTCCTTCTACTACCCTGCTTGTCACCTGACATTGAACAAGAGCTGCCAAGACATGGAGCCTCAGAAAAGGAATGGATGCTACCCTTCAAGTGCAGTATTTTCACTTGCTGGGTCTTTGACTCCATAGTTTCTGCTGTGGACAGGTGGGGACTTCCTTCTTTTGTGCATTGGATTCTCTGAGACAGAACAGTGGACCCACTGGGATAGACTTACTAAGATGAAGGCCAGAGAGGCAGTCACCAACCCCTCAGTAGGTCAGCTGTGTGAAGCTTGTGCTCTACTTTGAGAAAACTATGGTTGGTGCCAAGCAGAGCAAGACATTACTGGATCTAGAGAGAGACATAGCAAGACTAGGCCCACAACATCGTAGAACAGAATGTATTACCTCTCTGTCTCTCACCGCATAACTACCCAGCCAAGTAGGATCCAAGGGGCCAAAGGAGTTCAGGGGAGAATATACCATTGGGCTATTCATGTGAGTCAGACAGTTCTGGACACAGGGATGGGAGTTTGAGAGGTACTGACTGAAATGAAGTTAAAAAACACATGTAAGTGGCTTGATTTTTCTCTATGATCTTTCCTGCTGGTGGCCAAGAAGGATTTAGGTTCACAGAAAGAACTCCCTCCATTTTTGGATCAGTACCAACACAGGTATCTCTTGTCCCTATGTTTGGAGGTTTAATGTTCTTAGTGTCCTAATACAGATTTCTGCTTTAGAAGCAATAGGCACAGAATCAAGCTGTCTCCATTGACTGAATTTGATCAAATGCCTTAGATTAGCTTGGGGGTAAAGTGGGGAATTCTAGTTTCCATACAATCTCATTCACATTCCTTCAAACTTACCCAAGTAAATATATGAATTTAAAACAATGTAGTTAATATGTAGCTACAGCTTCAAATCAACTCCCCAGACTCCCTCCCAATCAGAGGCCTGCCTCTAAGCCCCTTTTCCAGAGCTGCCAATGACCAAAACAGCCTTTAATCCAGAGGCTGGAATTGGTGGTTTGCAAGTCGAATGTCGCCTGCTTTTAAAAATGATTCTTAAAAACAGATATGGCTAACATTTGTAATTTATGAGAATTCACTTTTTTAAAATCTGGTTTTCAGCTGCTTTTGAAAAAGTGAACAATCTCACCACAGCAGAGTGTTGATAGATTGGGGACACACTCCTACATGGCAAAAATTTTTGAGTTTGGAACTCACAGGAGGCCCACTGAGCTTTGCCAGTTTGCCACCGCCTCATTGATATGAACTGTCTGGGCCCTGCTTTACTCTCAAACTGGTTAGATTTTGTTGCTTAGAGCAAGCTTTGGGGAGTGGGCGCTCGGGCACTCTTGATTAAACTGGCTGCGGGGTAGATCACAGCACTTAACAGCCTGCCGGTGTAGGCGGCTTCATTCTACCTGCACCACCACATGCTGGCTTCAAAATGTCTAAGCTTTGCATGGAAAATTCATTACTCAGAGGTGTCAGCATCTCCCTGGATGAGAAGGGTTAATGTCAGCATGTACATCTTTTTCAGTCCTCAACATTTGGGCTAGTGCTCCTCTTCAGTGGTTCTCTTGGTATAGTTTCCTTTGGGGGAGCGTGAACAAGTTCAGGAGGATTCCGAGGAGCACAGATGCGTTCCAATGTTACGAATAATGCTGTAAGTCTCTTTTATTTGCCAAAGACACTTCTTACTCACAGTTTAGTCTCCTAAACAGCAGAATCAGTGTCGCCAGTTTGGGAATAATGAGGGAATTAGGTGCGCGGGTCCGATTTCAGATGGGGACAGTGGGAGGCAGCGGAAGGACCGCGTGAACTCGCTGCAGGCCTGGTCCACGCAGGCGCGGCCCCTCGGAGGCAGTCCAGCAGCCCTGACAGGTGAGCTCTGCCCACAGCTGCAGACCCGAGCCCCCGGACTGCGGCCGGAGAGCGCCACATTGCGCCTGCGCACAAAGCCTCCGGCCACGGCAAGACAGTAACCCGGTAACTAGGTCTGGGTTGGACGGAGGCGGCTTCACAAGCTTGCGCAGGCGCGTCCCGCGTTCGGACACTGGTCGGTGCGCCGGCGCCCATCCTACTCGTTCCTCACATCCTGTAAACAGAGCGGCCCGCCGAGACAACTTCTGCTTCCGGGTCACGTCTTGACAGCGGCTTTCACCACCCAGGTCAGCCCCGCGGTTCGGTGAGTGTCGCCCCGCTGCAGGAACGTCAGCAGCCAGGTTCCCTAACCCGGGGCACCACGCCCAGTAGCCCTTCCTCCACTCCCCGCTCAGGGTTTGCCAGCCCTCCAGGCTGGGACCTTGTTCCGGGCCTTGGGGAGACTGGGGCGGGGGCTGGTCCACTTCTGGGCCTCCCCGGGCACAGATTACGCGGCGCCGTTTCAATACCGGCCTAGGGAGACCTGCCGAGATTGCTGCCGTCTTTGCAGAGCCCGTGCGGAAAGTGACACCATACGTCCTCGCTTTTCATGCAGTTGCCCTCCGCCCCTTAGGCTTGGCAAGATCCAGCTGCTGCGAGTCGTCTCCCAGCAGGTGGACTGGGCCAGGGTCTCCCCGCCCGAGGGGGCCGAAGCAGGGCCTTAAGCAGCAGGGCTGTTGAATCTCACCTCTCCTACTTGGCTTCTCGCTTTGCAATAAAAAAACCCCTTGGTGTTTTCTCTGGATCCAAAGTGAAAGAAAACGGGAGACGGGGCTTTCTGCTCCAACAGTGGAAAGGGGCCCCTTGGGGGGTCAAACCATGCACGAGCTTCAGTCCGGAGATAGGTTTCCTTCCTGACAGTGTTGTCAGTGTGCCCCTAAGTTTCACTCTTCAGCAGGAGCTTCAAGAGAGTGGCAGAGGACCACTGGTCATATTAAGAATTAGGAGTTCTTAGCCTAGAGTCCAAGAGCACTCCGAAAGTGATTGCAGGGTCTATTTCTTCAGATTGTCATGGCCGAGAAATGGTTAACGGAACCACTGGTTAACTTCAGTCCAAGCCTTCCACTTCGGATGCTCTGTTTTCTGCCCCCGCAGATTCAAATGCATCTATGCCCTTTTTTATATTTTTCCTTGCAACAAAGAAGTATAAGATACAGACCATTGTCTCTGAGGAGTTTCGTGTCTGCTGGAGAGATTAAAACATATGCCAAGGCTAAATTATCTAGGAAAATTCAGAGAGGCATATAAACAAGTGTGTAAGCTTATTCATTCATAATAAAGTAGGGAAGAAGAATATCCAGTTTGAATCATTGATACTTATGAATTGAATATTTTTAATTTGCCGTCTATTAATTAATACTGTATATATTTTAAATAGATAAATTGCTACCGATTAGCAAAATGGAAACTATTAGAGTTTATAGTATATTATATAATGTATAATGAGATTATCCTTCACAAACAGCAAAAACTACGTAGTATGAAATGACCAAAATAATTTTAGGATTTTTTCCTTAGTAATCATCGTATGCATAACATGTTTAATTACTGCAAATTTTGAATTTTTTTAGGATTCAAAGTAATAGGCTTTACATTGGTTCAACAAATACTCATTGAGAACTTGCCATGTGCCAGGCATTATTAAAAATAACACTATATTTACCCCTAAGGAGCTTAAAGTTTCATAAGATCATGAATTCCTAAACAGTTACACCTAGGGAGCTGATGTGGATACCTTATTTTCTCTACAGTTTTTGATATGTACTTTTTCATAGAAATGCTCCACCTTCTTTGCTATAATCTTATATGTTCCCCAGCTGGTATATGGCTCTTATACAGCCAAAGCTTTTATCATAGTTGAATTAAAGTATATTACATTATTTTCTTCTTCCAACCCAGAGCTCTCTGTCATGTTGTAGTTTCAGCATATATTTGACCAAGTCTACTTCTCAGTTGTCACAAGTGGCCAGTTATTAAAAACTTTAATTCATTTTGCACTCTTAAATCTACCTGTTTTCCTCTAACTGCAAGCATACGCCATTGGTGTGAACTTTGAAATTCTTTTCTAATTTTATATAGATGACCCCAGAGTAATTACACTTTGGCATTCCTTCCTTATTTTGGAATATTACCTCAAAAACTTCCTATCTTTTTCTTTGCTGAAGACATTTTGAACTATTTCACAGATGCCTCGTCGTTATTAACATAGATGCGTTTGTTACATAGCCTTTTCCCTCTCTTCTTACAGGTAACAATCACTTCCGTACCCTTTAGTCAGTCAATCAACAGCCAGTACTTATTAGGTACCTATTTTTTTTAGAGACTCTGGTTGGCCTATATGGACAAAATAGTAGAAGACAAGGAGCTTGCCTTCCAAATGATCACAACTTAGATGGAAAAACATAGCTGTGCTGCAAGGCCAAATGTAACAAATAACCTAAAGATAATAGATTACATACTTCACAGGAGGAAAAGAATGTTTTGTGGCATCTTTAGCCTTCAGAAATCCCCTTCCTTGCCTAGTCTTTTTTAAACCACACAGAGCTCCACGGGGATCACAGAGCCTCTTGGGGAAACCTTATGCTAGACTAGGTCAAAAGGAACTGAGGTCCTGAGGGTCAGAACATTTGCATCCAGGTTCACCCATCTCTCTCAGCAGCTCTTCTATTTCCTGTGATTAAGAAAAAAATGATATTAATGAATCATCGATCTCTTTGAAATCTTGTTTTAGTGTTGGGAAGGCCTCAGAGAACTCCTAACCCTAAGGACAGGCATGTTCAGTGATAATTGTGTATGCCTACAACGTCTTTGTTTCAGGCAGTTTGGAGCATGTGAACGTACTCTGAGCCTTGATGAGTTCCAGTATGTGGTATATTATGCAGAGCATTCAGAGCAAATACTCTCTCTCAGAGCGCTTAATCCGAACAATCGCTGCCATTCGCTCCTTCCCACATGACAATGTAGAGGACCTCATCAGAGGGGTGAGTGTGCTGTGTTGATGTGAGAGTCCTTTGGGAGGTGAAGGGGAAAGGTTCCTGGGGAATCCTAATGGATTGCAGATTTGCAGCCTTGGCTCAGCACAAGATCACAAGGAGTTTTTACCATCTTCTAAAATGTACTAAACCATTAAAATATATTTTCCCTATGTTTTGCTCCTCTTCCTTTCTGCCTTTCACAGTGTGCATATGATATTTTTTCTTCAAGAAATAGTCCTAGATAACCCTAGTCTCATGTTCTTTGTGAAATCTCTGGATATGGTGCATATGGGATCCAGCAAGCTGGAAGTCTCCTACACAGGTTGTGCTAAGGGAGGAAGGAGGCAAGCAAAGCATGAGTGGTTTTCAAATCCTTGTAGTTTATAATAATTACATGGAGTGATAGCATTTGCCTTCTATCTTAGTTTGTAGTTCTGTAGAGAATATCAGCCCCTAAAATGCATGGTAATTTTTGACTTAAGATAACACCTTAACTGTCTGATATCTAATCACTGCTCTTCCGTAATTCTGTTAAATGACTAGTATCCTAGAAATCTTTGATACCTTTTTCGGTATATTATTCCTGTTGAAGAGAAGTTACAGGGTAGTTTTTTTGATCACTAGAGGATACATTCAGGTAGTTACTTCTGTACATTCTTTTTAACAATTTTAGAACCCTTGTTACAGCCTGGAGCTCTGTGGCTGCTTCAGAGTCATGTGGCATAGCTGTGAGAAGAAAAAATCCTACCGCGTTAGCTTGTTCTCAGCAAAAGTGACTACTGATCAGAAGACTCAGCAGTAGAAACTTTGTCACGTTCTAATTCTAGCTCTGCTGCTGAGTCATTCAGTGACTTTGGTCTGACTGTGGTATCTCCATCTCCTTTATCAGATTTGAAATAGAAGCATCAGTGGGAGCTAGGTGGCAGAGAACGCTGATATTAAGAGGCTACTTTGAAGATGTTTATAAACAAAGAGATAATGTTCAGATGACCTTACTTTTAGTGATGGTCATCTGGCAAATGGCAAAAAAGAGCATGCCAGTTCTCCTGGCTTCAGTCTGAAGGACTCACTTTCCTGATTTTTTCAGTGCATGGTGGCCAGAGAACAGAGGTTGCTTTTCTGGCTCTCCTGCCTGACGATAAGGCTCCACTGCTCTTATACATGAGGTTGTGTCCAAATGACCATCTGGCAGGCTAGCTTGTGGAGAAACATAATGACTTGATCTAAGGGAATCGAAAGTTCCTTTCATTCATCTTCAGTGTATTCTTTTGGTTTGGATATTGGCATTATAATATTATTTAATTCATAGGAATAGAAACTAGGACCGGTAGTATCTTACAGTACACTCAGAGTTAGACCCTTTTCCCCCAGACCTGGTTCTGAGTCTTGCCCTGCATGGTGAGCCAGAGCTGAGCACACTGACTGAAGTTTCCTTCCGCCATAGGGAGCAGATGTGAACTGCACCCACGGCACACTGAAGCCCCTGCACTGCGCCTGCATGGTGTCAGATGCTGACTGCGTGGAGTTACTCCTGGAGAAGGGAGCTGAGGTAATGTTTTTAACACTGTCACATCAACGATTCATTAAAACTTGAGCTTCACATTTTCTTAAAATTTCTTGCCTCTTCTCACATTTCTTCCCAGCTTCTGGCTCATGGTAACATTGGCATAGCCAATATTAAAGCAAAATGTGATGGTAAGTGTATAAAATCAGCCAAAGGATTTCATTCTTTTGCCTTCCTTTCTTATGCTGTCCATGGCTCCAGGAAGAGGGAACCCCTTTCTGACTCAGTCCAAACCATTTACGACCTGCTACCAGATGTGCACATCTCATACCACTGAAACTGGAAAATAGTCATTAGGCAATCTCTTCCTCAGGATTAAGCTACTTGTGCTATTTCTGCCCACTATTTTTTTTTTCTCTTTTAGCATATCTTGTTCCTATTTCCTTTCTAATGTATCTTTAACATAAAAAACAGATTAATTTTTATGGACATAAGCAGGAAGCAACATAGTATAATGAATGATTAAAAGAATGGACTATGGAGCCAGACTTCATGGATTGAATTCCAGTTGTTACTCCCAGCTGTGTGACGTTGAACAAGTTGCTTAACCTTTCTTTGCTTCATTTTCCCCTTCTCTAAAATGGGGGTGATACAGTGTCTTCTTCCTAAGGTTGTAGAGTGTTTAGAACACTGGCATGTGATAATTACTGAGTGCCTGTTAGGTAAATAGATTCTCAGTTTTGACAGTTTTGTTTTGAATCTTCAAGGCGCCTATGCTGAGGCACACATTTGAGTCAGGCACGCCATGAAGCTGGTGTGCAAGCCCCAAATACACTGGTCAGTAAGCCTGCTCCAGCCCCCAACATCCTCACCTCCACACAGCCATGCTGTTCTCTACTTGTCAGTATCTATCCCATAATTTTTCACCCTGAAGTGAAAGCCAGTGATTAGTGTCAGTGAGGACAGTGAAAATATCCTGGGCAAAAAGAAAAAAGAAAAAAGACAGGTTTTAGCTAAATAGAAGGTTGAACTCAGTTAAACATTTTATGAGGGAATATAATATACTATGTATAAACTTGGAATTTGAAGTCTTTGTTGCCTTCAGAAATTAGAGGTGATGCTGATTTTTCCAGCATGGGAGGATCTGTGCTCTTTCTCCCACATACTTTCCTCTAGGTTCTCCTGTGACACCACAGCACATGTTTGCAAGGGGCTGACTTGGATTAACAATTTGAGCATCTCTGTATGGTTAAAGAACTTAGCAGAGCTACCTGGGCAGAACCTTGGCCTCATTATTTTTCAGTCTGGTTGCCATTAGCCACGGGTTATAGAGTGAGTCAGGATAAGTAAAATAATCCAAAACTTTTACTCTGGCCAGTGTATTCAAGCTGCTTTCCAATAAATGTCTTTCAAAGTAGTTACAAGGACTTAACTATCTTCTCTTTCTCCTTACTCTGTAGTAGAGATTCTAGTAAATAGCGAATAAGAACATGGATGCAGAAACATCCGTTATTCAGGCCAGCTAATCCATGCACATAATATTTGGGGATGGTCCTTTTCCTATTTGCTCCTCAGCTCCTATCATATCTCCATGCTTGTCACCACGACTCCCTGGGAGTTGCTTGTTGACCCTCGTGTTCAGAATGTTACGTAGCAAAGACAGTGGATAAACACATGCAAGCTTCTTGGCCGGCCTGTCCTCTCAGTTGTCTGTAGACTGTAATGTAGTCCCTCCCTCTTTACAGGTGAATGCCCTGGATGGTTATAACCGGACAGCCCTCCACTATGCAGCCGAGAAGGATGAGGCTTGTGTGGAGGTCCTGTTGGAATACGGTGCAAACCCCAATGCACTGGATGGCAACCGAGACACCCCACTTCACTGGGCAGCCTTTAAGAACAATGCTGAGTGTGTGCGGGCCCTTCTGGAGAGCGGCGCCTCAGTCAATGCCCTGGATTACAACAATGATACCCCACTCAGCTGGGCTGCCATGAAGGGAAATCTTGAGAGTGTCAGCATCCTTCTTGATTATGGTGCAGAAGTCAGAGTCATCAACCTAAAAGGCCAGACACCCATCTCCCGCCTGGTGGCTCTACTAGTCAGGGGACTTGGAACGGAGAAAGAGGACTCTTGCTTTGAGCTCCTCCACAGGGCTGTCGGACACTTTGAATTAAGGAAAAATGGCACCATGCCACGAGAAGTGGCCAAAGACCAGCAGCTGTGTGAAAAACTGACTGTTCTGTGCTCAGCCCCAGGGACTCTAAAAACACTCTCTCGCTATGCAGTGCGCCGGAGCCTGGGACTCCAGTATCTGCCGGATGCAGTGAAGGGCCTGCCACTGCCAGCTTCTCTGAAGGAATACCTGTTACTTGTAGAATAGCCTGGAGGAGACGTTTGCACCATCACATGGGCAACTCTGGGTGAGGTTTTGCCCTGCGAAACTGTCTCTCTTGGAAAACAAGAAAAGCAGCTGTTCCTGTTGTGTGGTTTATATTTCAAGGCAACATGTCACAACAGTAACCTCCACATCACTTCCCTTCCCCAAACCAAGCAACCAAACAAACAAAAAAAACTCTCTTCTGTTTCTGTTTATTGCTTACTTGGCTTTTTAGATTACACCCTCTAAAAGAAGAGGTCTCCCCAACCCTCCCCTTTAGGGAAAAAGTCAACAGTGCAACTGAATTATTCTAGGAAGACAAAGAATACTTATAGAATGTGTGTTTGGTTTTCCTTTGGGGACATGATTAACATTTCCAAAGACTCCTTCTAGGAACATTTTAGTTGATCTGCGAAGAAGTTTAAGAAAACTCCAGCTAACAACTGAGGCCCAAAGATGAAGAGGCAACAAGCTCAAATGTGTGCAGGTTCGGAATTGGGCTGGATGATGTCCCTAGAATGCCACATCACGGGGCACTCAGAAGGGACTGGCCCCCTTCCTCACCACTGAAGGGAACAGCAGTCTTTGCCCCTTTTCCATGAGTGTGCTCAAGGCCATAGTAGTTCAGCAGGTTTATTTTAGAAAGATTGTCTTGCTGCTCTCCGTGAAGTAGAAGACATAGAAGGTTCTAAGCAGTCCTAAAAACTAAAAGTCCTAAGAACTTTTCTTCTAGTGCAGTTCTTTCTCTTCCTGGAAGCCAGTTTGCTCTACTGGGCTTCGCAGGCATTTCCTGCACCGCCGACGAAGGTGTTCACTCTCGCAGGGGAAGAAAGAGCTGGGCTGGGCTGCCTTTTCTCGTGGGTCTTCTTCATTCCCTAGAGGAAGCTCACTCCCTAAGAGCTTGGAGGTTTTTTTTTTAGTTGTTTTGGAAACTTTGCTTTTTATTGCTCTCTACAAGATACTGGTGGAGGGGGTGGAGCTGGGGAGTAGGAGAGCACTATAGCCCTTCCTCTGAGATGGCCCACCTACCCAAAAAAGACCTGTTTTAGTGAACAGTACTTAGTCTACAATCTCTTCCTTTTCACATTGCTAAACTCAATCAAGTTGTTATTGATCTTAGATGACCTTACACAAATTTGAAAATCTTTTTTTAACTGATTGGGAACTATGAATAAAAATTAACAGAATCGGCTGACACAGCTAATTTGAAAAAGTATGACGCTTTTGTCCTTTTCCTGTTGGCATTTTTTGCTCACTAAAAAAAAAGAAATAAACAGTTCTAAAAGCAAGTTTGGCAATTTCTACTCTTCCTACTTTTCTCTAAGTTATTTAATTACCTGGAGCCCCAGTGTCCTCATCTCTGAAATGGGGCTGTCACCACCACCCACATGGGCTGTTTTTTAGAACTTTTTTTAGGGTATAACAGTAATACTTTGCTAGTATTAGGGAACTACTAGAGATAATCCTTTCCTCCACCCCTTGTAAAACCCTGAACCTCCTTCCTGCTTCAGCAAGCAAGTGTGGAAACTGTGTAGGTTGGGAGGAGTATGTATGCCTGTGCTGACAGCCAAGGTCAGGTAGCATCCTGTCAACTGGGGACACAGTCTATAGTCCCAATCCTGAAGACCAACTGCACTGCTTGGATACTTGGCTGATGAGGAGGAAGAAGCCGGTGTGACAGAATAGCAAACAAACTGAGCTGAATGAGAACCGACAATTTTCCAAAGCAGTATTTCAATCAACCCACCAAACTAGGTCCAGGACTGGTTGTCTGTTTCCCAGGCTTTCAAAATGTACATGTCTCCAAACAAATGGAGTCTGGTTTTCATCCAGAAAGGAGTACAGAGGAAAAGCTGAGAAGGAAGAACCCTGTGTTGTCAGAGGAGAGGAGCAGAGACTGTAGGATGGCTGGGAAAAAGCAACCCTGGATAATGGTTTATGATCAAGAAATGAAACGCAACTTTATGCTTAAGGGAGACTGGAGCGTCCTGCTGATTGCAGAGGATGCAGGAGGGACTAGCTGTGGGATGAGGGTAAGGACCAGTCCACTATGTTCTCAGACCTTGTGTACAGAGTCAAGAGATGTCCAAGATGAGCGAGAAGTACATGGGCTTGTCACATGGGCTGCATTTTCCCAGGTGTCTGGGCAGAGTCTGGCTTGGGGCTGACAGGAATGCACTTGTGGAGGTGATAACAGGAGAACCGAAAGCACAGCGACCAGTTGGCATTTATTAGTGTAGTTATTGTCACTGTAGTAAAAGTAGTAGAGGAACCAAGACTCTGTCATCACAAAGAAATAAATAAAGCTTATTTTTAGGAAAATTCTAACCGAGTAACTGAAATCTAGCAGTAGCACTAGGGGAGGAGCCCAGCCTTGTGTGACAGATGAAGCTGGGGTAGAAGTCATGATAAATTCTACCTAAAAGGAGCTTCTACTCATTGCCCCCTGCCCCAGCTCCCCGGCCAGAGCTGACCACGGCTGCAGTTACAGAATAAAAGGAAACCTAATGAAAAATGAGCTGAAACACTTGAGACGATGTGAACTTGGATCTATCGGGGGTGAGCTGACCATGATCAGACCATCTGTTCCCCTCACTGCAAAGAGGTTTAGACGGCAGCTTCTCCAGACCGCTTCCGGCTGATGTGCTCCAGGTGGGCATGCTCTGAGGTGTCCAAGTCAATCTCATACTTGGCTAGGATTTTGAGGATGGGCCTCAGCTTCAGCCACCATTGTTCCTTGGGGATGCGGTGCCTACAGAGGAATGAGGTAGGTGATGATTTAATCTTTAGCGCCCCAATCAACATCTGTGAAAGGCTATGGGAAGAAGTTGAGCACAACCAGCTGGATTTGGGGCATGGGCATCACATCTAAAGTAGGTACAACTACAGGTGTTACTCCTAAGAGAAAAGGACTGAAGACAGTGAACAGGTTGGGAAGAGTAGATCTTGAAACTACCAGGGAAGGAACCACCCCAGGAAGTAGATGTACTCACTCAAAATCTGTCTGTTCCATCAGCTCAGTCACTGGTTGAAAGATCAGTGCTCTCTTGCGCATCCCCAGAACACAACCTGAGTCTGGAGTATTAGCAAAGATCCGCCCTGCAATAGGGATGGTCAGTCAGCTTCTAAACTGGGAACCAGCTTCTAGGAAGGGGGCCCCTCTTAACCCCACCTACCATTACGGTAACTCTCTTTGATCTTCCCAGACATCCAGTTCATAGCCTTTGCACCCATCTTAGTGGCAAAATTCCTGTCAAATGGAGTTGGGCTCCCACCCTGGAAAAAGAATCATAAAAATTATAGAGGTAAGGGCTCTAATGAAGTGGCAAAGACATTGGAATACACGGAGAAAAAGGAAAGAATAGGTCCAGGTTTACAGCCAGAAGCAGGAATCCATAAACCTAACCATGAAAGGAAATCCTGAAACAGGGCTGGGAACCAGGGTGAGCTTTTGGCCATTAATCAGATGTCAGAGTAACTCATTAGTACAAGGGGATGACTGGTCTCGCAGTTGCTTCTTCCAGCCCCACAGCTGCATGATCCTGTTCATTTCCTTCCAGGCTTACTGGCCACTCTATTCCCTGCCCCTCTACAACCTAGCAGCTTTTGTCAGTCACCATCACTGATGACACAAAGCATTCCTTGTGACCCCATCTGGATGCCCTTGGTAGCACCTCATAATTATAAAACACCTTGCAGATTTTCTCTGAACAAAGCAAAGTAAGTGGGAAAACAGAAAGGGAGGAAAAACAGAAAATAGGTCTTCATACTTTATGCAATAGGACCTCACTCCTGCAGAGGCTGATAAGCTCATTCAAACTGAGATAATGTGAGTTCATTTGTGGGTACAGAAAGGTCAAAAGTAAGTGCTTAAGAGGCATCAGTGGGGAACATTTGGGATAGGGGAGGCCTCAGACCACTAGTATCATCTGTGAGAGAGGCCTACCTAGGGTGGGGACTGAAAGTAGGTGGAGAAAGAGATTCCTTCCCCCTTGGAACCCCAGTTAGTGGGGATGGAGCCCAACCCCAGCAAGGTGCCTGTACTCACCCACCACATTCCCTATGGAAGGCAGCACAGTGTGGCGGGGAAAGCACTGGACTAGGCTTATTCTGGCTTCACTCAAGCTTGATGAGTGGCCCTGAAAAAATTATTTCTCCTCTCTCAGCCTCATTTTCTTCATCTGAAGCAGTAGTTCTCAACTGAAGATGATGTTGCCCCCTGGGGGACATTTGGTAACATCTAGAGACATTTTTTTTTTTTTTAGTTGTACAACAGGGGAGGGAATGCCATTGGCTTCTAGTGAGTAGAGTCCAAGAATGCTGCTAAGCCATCCTAAAACACACAGAACCACCAGAGAGAATTTTCCAGCCCCAAATGGCAATATGCCAAGGTTGAAAAACCCTGCCCTAAAGAAAGAGGATGAAGCTAAGGCCATTTCCAGGGTATAGATGTCTGATTCTGTGACTGTAGAAGACCGCAGACCCATGTTCTGTGGCGGCACTGATACCCTCAGCAGGCTGGAGGCCAGAGGGACACTCAGTGGCTATTGGGGGTTACGGCTGTCTTGTGATGGGCATGATGTGTGTACTCCCTACCTGCTGCATATGGCCAAGCACGTTCTTCCTGCTGTCGAAGATGCCCTTCCCCTCCTCTGAGTACAGGTTGAAGATGAAGTCAGTGGTATAGTTGTCATTGCACTTCTCGTTCCTGCAGGAGAGACCGATGCCTGTGCCGCATGCGTCCCCCTCCATCCCCCAGCCCTCTGCGGTGGTCAGCTTTGTCCCTCTGGGTTCCATCTCTTCTTGCAGTCCAGGTTCTCTCCCTTTGTATCCAAAGATGCCTCAGGGTGTCTCAACCATGGCTGCAGTCTGACTAGGGCCAAAGCCTGACTATCTCTTCTCTTCACTTGGGAGCAAACCAGGGATGAGGTACCTTAACACCAAGCCCCTCTTCACAGTTGTTTTCATCTTTTGCACCAGATGTTCAACATTTGCCTGAAAATGAAGCAGAAAATCCTAAGCCCAGCTGAGAGTGGATAAGGCTGGGCAGGCACATGGATCCCTTCTTCCCCGCCAGGCCTCTCCAGGAGGGCAGAGGGACGTGGAAGAGGACTGTTTACAGCCCAGGGCCTGAACTGTGCCTCATTCCTTTAAGAAGGTCAGTGCAGACTGAAATTAAGGGAAGACTCCAGATAAGATGGGAAATGGGAAGAAGGAAGTTTGAGACAGCATGGTACTGTCAGTTTTCAGCCCCTTTCCACCCCCTCCCAATCTCCCTTTCCAGGGGTTTCCAGTTCTCCTCTCAGAGGGCTGATTCTGCTCTCGGTCTTGGTCTCTAAATGGGCTGCTTCTGCATACAGCAGTGATTCACCTGGGAAGAAGCACTCCCTTCATTTGGGCTTTGAGTTGGGGGTGAAGGAGGAAGAGGGTCACCCTCCATTGCGGGCAGGGGTTGGCTGGGTCCTTGGGTTAGGGAGTTCCCTCAGCCTGCAGCCCTCCACGCTGTGGCTCTTCTTTTCTCCAGTGAATGGGGATCTTGGAAAATAAGGATCATAAGGGTATCCCCCTCAAAAATGGAATGAGAAGGGTATGTTTTGGTAGCTAGGGAAATCTGGAGGGGTGGCGTGACCTCCTCAGTCAGTTAAACCACCCACTAAAAGTTTAGAAAGGCTTCGTAACCTCTCTGAACCTCTCTCATCTGTAATACAGGGATATCTCCCTTGAATGTTATGAAAATAAAACACAAAATTGCACATGAAGGGCTTTGCAGCCTGCCACCTTTCAAACAGGAGCTCCAGTGACAGGAGCTGTGGGCACGTGCAAGAGGTCACACTGGAGAATGCCTGCCCAGTGCTCGTTTTAGGACTCCACAGTCCATTGGCTCCGTCCACGTCGTGAGCTCTCACAGCTCAGCTCACTGTGAGGACAGTGGGGCCAGACTAGGGCAGGGAGAGCTCCCTGGCAAGCTCTGGGTGGCCGTCTACCTGCAGGTCTCTAATGGTGAAGGGATCCTCAAAAATATAGGCAGCATCGGCCCCGGCTGCCAGTCCAGCCATGGTGGCCAGGTAGCCACAGTAGCCGCCCATGGTCTCGATGATAAACACCCGGCGCTTGGTGCCTGCTGCTGACTGCTTGATGCGGTCACAGGTCTGCAAAGACAATGGGTCACAGAAGGATAGGGTTAGGGATGTGATTCTTGTCACTGCTCTGGTCCCTAATATCACCCAGCTCTGGAGTGGGGCCCCTGCGTCTCATCAAGCTCTTGCCTTCAGGGACGGCCAGCACCTCTGCCAGCCACAGCAGAACTCCTCTCCTGGGAAGGGGGTTGCCCCTACCCTTTCTGTTGCTTAGAGTAGGAGAATTAGGCTGAATGACCTCAGGAAAAAACATTTGGCATGCAGAGCACAGATGCATTTCTAGGTTAGAGGACTCACAAGGTGGGGAGAATGGACACTACACATACAGTTCAATACAGCCTGTGTAAATGGCAGGGCGTGAAGAGGCATTTTTCAAACGCTGCCATTTGGCTGGTACAAAACAAGTGGCTCACTTTTGAGGCCCAGACGCAGTCCAGGGATTATACCCCCAGCCAGAGACTGGGAAGTGGGGTGGCTCTCACCATGCAGATGGTGTTGAGGGCTGTGTCGGCCCCCACGCTGAAGTCTGAGCCGGGCACGTTGTTGGAGACCGTAGCAGGAATGACCACGAATGGGATGCAGAGCTCGTCATACAGCTTCCTGCCCTCCATCAGCTCCAGGCCCCCCGTGTAAGCCTGTGAAGAAGGGAGCAGAAGGGCAGGAATGAGGACGGGGCAAGGTGCAGGGGGAATGGAAGAAACGGTTGGGAAGGGCACCCACCTCAAAGCCCCCAATGATGACAAGGCCCTGGATGTTAAACTTGGTGATGTTGGCACTGATCTGTTCGAGGCTCTTCTTGGGTAAAGTCCTAGTTGATTGGGGCAGGGAGGGAGTGGGAGGACAGAATTTGGGGAAGAGACAGCAAAATTGAGGAAGAGAAAACCTAGAGTTAGAAGCCCTTTATTTATAATTTCTTAACTTGCGCCCTCTTCCCTGTTCGACCTCTCACCCCTGCCCAAGGATACACCCTGGGGCTCTAAATTGCCAGAATTGTGTGGACGGGCACATCTGCCCTCACTAAAGCAACTGAGAGCTCAGGGTAGAGGACCCAGATAACAGCACTGGTCCAAGCAGACCCTGACTGAGTGAACTGACACCACATTCCAAGGGACACCTTTAGGGGTAGGGGTGACTAGGAGGAGGTGCTCCTGTAATGCCACTTACCTTTTAGTCCCAAGTTTAGAACCACCTTGGCCAGTCCAGCCTCCAACGTAGCTCCAGCCAGCTTCCTCGATCTGCAGAGAAAGGTCACACAGGTGGCCCAACACCACTTCTTAAGTCCTGACCTCACTCCGACACCCACCTGCCCCTGGGGGAGGAACACCGGGCATCCTCCTCCCCTTGACCCCCCAACCCTTACTGCTTCCACCCTTACTGCTCATTCACAGATATTAAGCACCTGCTTATGCCAGGCATCGTGCTTAACTTTGGGACAGAGAATTAAATCAGACACATTGTTTGCAAAGGGTTCATTTCAGTGGCTTCTGCCTGTTCCTGCTGCCTTGAAGTTAAATACAGTAGCTCCCTTTTATCTGTGATTTCAGTTTCTGAGCTTCCAGTTACCTGTGGTGAACCTCGGTCCAAAAATATTAAATGGAAAATTCCAGAAATAATTCATAAGTTTTAACTGGTGTGCTGTTCTGAGTAGCATGATGAAATCTTGCACTGTCCTGCTTCACCCCACCCAAGACCTGAATCATCCCTTTGTCCAGCATGTCCATACTGTCCATGCTACCCACCCGTTAGTATAGAGAAATCACACAGCATACAGCTGACCCTTAAACAACAAGGGGGTGAGGGGCACCAACTCTCCACGCAGTGGAAAATATGCGTGTAACTTTACAGTCAGCTCTCATAGCCACCGTTCCACATCCATGGATTCAACCAACCCGGTCATACAGTACTGTGGTACGTGCTATTGAAAAAATCTGCATATAAGTGGGCCCATGCAGTTCAAACGCACGTTGTTCAAGGATCAGCTATATATCGGGATCAGTACTGTCATGGTTTCAGGCATCCACTGGGGAAGTGTCCCCCTCAGATAAAGGGGAACTACTGAATCTACTTCTGTTTGAACCCCAACCAGAGAAAAAGATGGGGAGGGGGAAGGCAAGAGAACAGACAGGTCATCCTGATATACTCATCCTCCCCACGACTGCTCCTCAGCCCCAAAGTGCCCTCTTTCCTTTCACCCCCATACCTGACCCTTGGCCAGGCCCTCGAAGCCATCATGCACAACCAGCACTCGGTTGCCCTGGATCAGGCCAATTCTCACAGTGGAGCGGACGGCGGCATTCATGCCTGCAGCTGGGGCCCCCACATTCATCACAGCCACTGTGTGTGAGCCACTCTGTGGAGAAGGAAGCAGAGGGGGAAAGGGGGAAAGGGGCCAACAGGGGGAGGGGGGCAGGTCAGTGAAGGAAGCTGAGCTCTGAGTTCCTTATGGTCCTGACAGCATACACCCCTCCCCTCCTGCTTGTTCCCTCCCTCACACTAGGAATCAGAAGTCTTTATCACAGATGAATAAATCAAGCTGTGGTCCCTGATTCCAGCTATCACTGCACAATGAATAAGAGAACTTCCAGAGCAATGTTTCCCAAAGTGCGATCCTTGGACCACCTGCATCAGATCCACTTAGGGAGCTTGTTAAACCTGCATATTCCTGGCCGTACCCCAGATCTGGATCCCCTCTGCGGGAGGGGAATATGCATGTTTAATAAGTAGCCCAGATAATTCTAGTATACAATAAATACTAACCACTATGCCAATGGTGGCAATGACATTGCCTAAATACATTTAGATGTGATTATTCCAGATTGGCCCAGAGGCAATAATACATAAGCCTTCTTTTCCATTCCTTGCATCTTGTCAGCCCTGAATTGGATGTAGGTCTTTGGTTAGAGACATCCAGGGCACACTGGGAACACGGGGCTTGTATCTAGGGTAGCTGAGAGAAAATTATCTTAGTGGGGACTCAGCTCTGAGGATTACAGTGGGCAAAGAAGTTGGCAAGGCATCAGCTGTGTGGGTTGAGGGTAGCACTTCGTAATGGGAGAATGGGAGAGGAAGAGGGACAAGGGGAGAGAGCAACTTGCCAGTACCTTGGACAGTGGGGGTCTGACATGAGCCAGAATCTTGTATACCTCCCAGTTGTTCATGAAGCTCCTATAAAAAGTACCGAGAGAGAAAAAGAGGGAGAGAAGTGTCTTCAGGCCACTCCCCAAGGCCAGCAGCCAAGGGGATCTGGTCTGAAGTTTTGCTCCCAGCGTGAAGTTCCAGAGGGCAAACCTCTAAGGGCATAACTAGGGCAGAGCAGGGGTCAGGCAGGGCTACAAAGAGGCCACTGACTCACCAAACACTCCCTGAGCATGCTTCCCCCCTCACCTAGAGACACTTAAGATCTAGCTGGGTCCACACGTAGAGATAACAGACTGTAAAAGAGAGTCCCTGGGATGAACTGAGCCTCCTGGTCACCTCACAACTAATACTCTTGGGGAAGAAACTATTTTTGAGACAATAAAAGGAGGGAAAAGCAGAGGCTCCTCCTTGGGGTCTGGAGCTACATCAGTTTTTGGCTTTATTGCAGGATCTGATTCTGTAGCTAGCGAGCTCCCAGTCATTTTCTCACCGGCCTCTCAGCTTCATGGCTTCATCAAATCGCCTCTCATTCATGGCCTTGGTCACATCTTTGGTCTGAGGGAGGAGACAGCCAGTCACGACTCCAGGGCAGGGCTCCGTATAGCTGGACTCCCCCCACGCTGAGACTCTGCCATCTCTGGGCTTGTGACTGGATCCTGCCCACCCCATACCCCACCTTTTCTATGCCCCTCAACTTTCATGGAAGGAGAAGTATCTTTGTTTTTCCTTAATTTTCTGAGTAATGAGCAGCAAACAAAAAGGGCTGATTCAAGCCCTTTTCTATTTATGAGAAGATGGGCAGAGAAGAGGAGCTCACACAGATAAAATAGCACCTTCCTCCATTCCACACCCAGGGCCCAGCCTCAATGGAGCCTCTAAACTAATGGAAAAATGAAGAGGATCCTGCAGATCACCCGGTTAGAGAGCAAGGCTGATCCCTGCCATGTGCTTCCTGACTACTGAGCCAGTGCTTCAGGTTGGGGCCTCTCAGAGATACAGTTCCAGGCAAGGCTGGAGTTTGTCTGGGCTCATTAGGGCTCCCGAGTCTCAGAGAGAAGCCACCAGGAGACGGGGATCCAGCCCTAAGGATCAGGCCAGACACTTAGCTCCCAGCCGCAGTGTTTGCTCTGTGGTATCAAAGGAGTGATGCTTCTATAATAAGAGCCACCATTTCCTGAGCACTCAAGCTCTTCCAGGTCCTACATCAGACCACTTATATGGTCAATCCTTACAATCACCCTCAAGGTGAGTATTAGTAACCTCATGTTGGTTCAGAGAAACGTGTTCAAGGGAGAAATCACTGAGTGAAATAAGCTACCTAGCCAGACCTTTCTAATATTCTCCGGCTTTTAATGAGGTTTGGAGAAATACTGCATTTCTCTTGAGGTTGGATATTATGGGATATTGGGTCTTATTACCAAGTAGGATGTAGAGTCTCCCATCTTCTTTAGGAACACCTGACAGGCGGGGAAACTGAGCCTTAGCTAGAGAGGTCACAGCTCCTGTGCAGGGCCCACTTCCCCCCGTGTCTCTTGCTGCACCCCGCTGCCTCTCCACCTGCTCACATCCCAGCAGCCTCGGAAGCTGCTCTCTTCCCCATCAGCTCAAGCTCAGAGACAGGGCCTTGGGGCTGGTAGGAAGGGGCTTGGGGTCGGTACTCACCACCTGGACACACTCCATGAGGGGCAGGCGCACAGCCTGGTTACCAGAGAGGCTCACCACACAGGCTGGGGTGTCCGGGGTCCCCTCCAAAAGTGCCATCACTGCTTCCACACCCATCCTGCTGCCCTGCGGGGAGCAAAGGCAGTCTGGTTCAAGCCTCCCCATCTAGGCTTGGCCTGGAGAACCTGGACACTCAAGACCCTTTCCAAATCATGAGTTGATTTCCACATTTAAGGACTGCAGTCAAGAACTCACTGGGCTTTACCTCCCTACCCAGATTTCACCGAAAGCTGGATGATTCTTTATCATTTTTCCATCAGAACCCCAAGGATTCTGCCTGGTTCCAGAGAAACACAGCCACTGTAGTAATGAAGGGAATATAACATTCCCTTCTTGAACTGATAAAACAAGGAGGGACGCTGCCTCTCTCTTCCAATGAAAGTAGGATAAGAGGGCACAAGTCGAGTGTGTGAGGTTAGGTCTTAATAATTTCACTAATGGTCAAAGTTCTAAGATGTTAGACCTTAGGGGAGTATATAGTTTCCCGTCATTTCTTGGAACAAAAGAAAACTTGAGAGTATAGGAATGGGTCAAGGGCCACTGGCGTCCAGAGGCTGGTTGAGGGGCGGCACAACCAACGGTTTAAACCCCTGTGCTGGGGAAGTTCAGTCCTGCTGGGAAAGGACAGCAAGTTGAGGGTTCTACGGTGTGAGGGCCGCAGAGTCCCGTACCTACCAGGATTCTGTCAAAGGCTGACGGTGTCCCACCTCGCTGCACATGTCCCAAGACAGTGACCCGGGTGTCATATCCCAGACGCTTTACCACCAGCTGAAGGGACCAAGAGAAGGACAGAGAGAGAGAGATACGGAGTCAAGGAGAGGAAACAAGCAGGGACCTAGATAAACCAAGGATAACTTAGCGTCTTATCTTGTAATGCCCCCTGGGTGGGAGGAACTCGGAGGCAGGAAACCCGGGGAGAGACATGCAGAAGAACCAAAGGGAGACTCAGAATCCCTGGGGAACGGGGCCAGGAGAGGGGTAAGGTGTCAAGGCCTCTCTGGCTCCATTCATACTAACGTTTTTTATTTCTTCTGACGTGATTGGTTTGCCATTTTTGTCGATCGCACCCTCAGCCACAATGATGATGTTGAGACGAGAACCACGGTTCCTTGTCTGGTGAAGAACAAAGTGAAAAATCGTCAGTGTTATAAAATTGATGGACAGGAAAGGGATCATCAATGGGACAGAGTGAGGGCTTTTTCAAAGGGCAAAATAAAGAGCCAGTACCTCGCTGAGCCGGCGGCAAAGGTGTTCCTCCCAGTCATCATCTGGTGGACACTCGGGAATAAAAACCCAGTCGGCCCCACAGGAGAGAGAGGTGACAAGGGCCAGGTATCTGAGATGAGAGCCAGAAGTATCATGCCAGGAGCTCCACTCCACAAAGAGCCTCACCCATCCCAACAAGCCCACCTAGTCCCAGAGCTGGTGAGAGGTCTGAGGCCCCTCCGTTTCATTTTTTGGATGAGGGTAAGAGCTCCACTGAGACAGCTGCTCAATGAGATTCTGTTCCCAAAGAGCCCCTTCTATTCATGGCCCCCAACCTCAGAGCCTGCTCTCTCACACTGCATGGGTGCCTGTGCAGGACACTCATGCTCATGTGCACATGCAGGTGAGTGAGGGAGGTGGGTGGAGACAGGGAAAGGCAGCCACACCGAGATGAGTGCGTACACCTCCAGATCTGCCACCACTGGGAGGCCTCTCTGGACTCTCCAGGAAAGAGGAAAGGGCTATTTCAAGGCCCACAGGATAAATGAGTCAAGACGGGGACCTTACCCACAGTGCCGGCCCATCACTTCTAGCACAAACGTCCTCTGGTGGCTGCAAGAGACAGACAGGTCTTACACAGTGCAAGGGTCCCTATGGCCAGGATCAAGCCCCCACCCACATCTAGGCCACGTAACCTCTCTGCGAGATACATTTATGCTGTGGGCCTTCCAGCGGGTTTCCTGGGAGACCAGGAAGACCCAGGGGAAACTTCAGCCACAAGGTGTCCTTCCTAGGCCTGAGCGAACACAGCAGAGAAAGGTATCAGTACTGAAGCTCCGTCCCTGGGAAGGAGGGAGCCCAGGAAAGGAAGGATAGAAGGGAAAAGGAGTGAGGAGAGGCCTTGACTAACCTGGAATCCTCCAGGATCACCCTGCAGGAGACTCACCCTCCCATCCCCCCTTCTCCTGCACTGCCTCCCCCAGCCCCCTCACTCCTGAGTAGTGACGCAACGGCCTCTACAATCTCTGTGACACAGCTGGAAAGATGTGGGGCTCCCTGGGTTTGTCTCAGTCTGGACACTAATCATTTAGGAGACCCCACAGGTATTAAAGACCTTAGAACCACTTGTTTGGACAGTGCGCTGGACAGTGGCAAGAGGCAGATCTTACAGCATTTACAGAGCAGTGCAACGCCAGTGCTCTAGGGGTAATTCTTAAAAAGTGGCCTGGCCCCAGAATTGGTCATTATAGTCACCATGGCTCAAACACTTTAGTCTTTCCCAGTCCCCAGCCTGTTGGCCTGTCCCAGCTGCCATCCTCCTTCGCTGCTCCCTGCAGGCCCTTACCTCTGAGCGGTAGTAGTGATGGCGTCTACGATCTCTATGATCCGGTGCAGGGCAGAGTCAGTGCCAATGGTCATATCGGTGCCGCAGAAGTCGTTGTCAATTGAGCCAACCAAGCCCACAATGTTCAGGTAGCTGGATTTCGCGGCCTCCTCTGCTGTGATCTTACCTGACAACGGGAAGCAAAGCAAGAGCCAGTGGGTGAGGCAGCAGGCCTGCCTAAAGAGCAGGAGACGGGAGAGGGAGGGGGCTGCAGCCACTTGGGACTGTATACAGTGGCAGAAAACGGAGGGCAAAGACTGCCAACCTGTGTCTGGGTGAGTTTTCTACAATGAGGGAAAGGGGTGTGTGTGTGCACATACCCACAAACCACACTGACAAGAAACGTCTCACCTGCTTTCTGGAGGTCATTCAACAAGTCGCTCCACTCAGAGCGGAAGGTGTCGGCCCCAGTGAGGCTACCGTCACCCCCGATGACACACAGGTTGGTAATCCCACGCTTCACCAGGTTGTGGGCAGCTCGGAGCCGTCCCTCTCGCTCCCGAAAGTCCTTGCACCGGGCGCTTCCAATCACTGTGCCTCCCTTTGGGGAAGAGGTGGGAGTCAGCTTCCCAGACGACACAGCCAAATTTGGGCTCAACATGCTAAGATTTCCCCTATTCCAACACTGTCAGGGGCTGACACCACCATGTGGCTCCCTAGGGAGTTCCCAGACATCCTGAGGGGTTGTTGGCCTCTTCTAAAGGAAAAGGGAGATGGTGCTGGCTGAGGTAGCACAGGGTCATTCCTATATTCTGCTGCACCTCTTAGCAGATGGCTAAGATGGACCCATTTCATTGGAGGCTTTGTCATCAAACTGATCATCCTAAAGAGAACTAGGGAATACACACATATCTGTAGGCTTTTGAAATAACCTCCATCATCCACATCTTAGACGTATAAGAAGAAGTGGCAGTGACTTCAGCAGGGACCAGGCACCGCCAATCCTTTTCTCTTTGCGCCTGGGGAGCTGTGTGCTAGTGGGAGAAGCCACAAGACTCAGGCAGTGACAAGAAAACCAGCTCTGCGTATGGAAAGCCTTACATTCCCAGGGGCTTATAGATCCCCCAGGAGAGGAAAGTATACCTAGCGTCTTCACAAATCACGTAAACTCCAGGCATCTATGACTTTGGGGTATTGATGGAAAATTCTGGCTCACTGTCAGACCACTTTATAGCAGGCACCATTGCCTGTATAGAGCCTCTGTGAAGCATTGCTCATTAAATTTCTTCCCATGGATATTTTTAGGGGATTGAGGTAAAGAATGCAGATACAAATGTAATGTGTAGGTTTTTCAGTAAATCAGAAAATGGGTATATATTGACTTAGAGAAAGCAAAAACGGCTGTGGAGACAATTGGGATAATCTTAGGTTTTTTTTAAACTCTCAATTCCTTCCTCCCTTAAAAGGTCTGGTTTCAGGTCACCTCATCGCCATCACATGAGGACTGGCAGACTTCAGCTCTGCTTCTGGCTCTGGCTCCCATCCTCGGGTAAGGTTATTTTCAGGACCTGACCTTCTCCGTGACCCTGGAGCAGGACCTGCTTATGTGCCAGTTCCTCAAGTGCTGCCTATGACCTTTCTCTATAAAGAGCATGCTGTCCTGTGATCATGTCCCCTCCCTCTATCCCGCCCCAGGAAACCAGGGTGATGTTTTCAAATGCAAAGAGTAAAGGGCAAACATGGCTCCTCTCTTGTCACAGAATCTCTTCACATCACACCACATGGCAGCGAATTCGGGAAACTGTGAGCCCAACCCAGAGCAGGGTGAGACAAGGACAGGACAAACATGGGGCAGGAGCCCTTTGGAACATACCAGCTGAAGCATCATTGAAACGCTCTCCCAGGTGGCTTCCCTGATGTTATCTCCACCGTCCACCAGGCCTTGATAACCCTGTGGGGTACATTACACTCATTCAGCCTCTGCTAGGCTTCCCCCAAACTCTCAAATTAAGACAGGATCCCTGGAAAGAGGTTCTCTGAGAATCAAGTCACCCATCCAGCCTCCTATGACGGATGCCGGGGTTCTCCTGAGAATAACACAGTCCAAGGAAAGAGATGTCAGCTTTTAATACTCTCTTCTAGATTCTCTCATTCTTGAAATATCAGGAAGCCCTTCCTAATATTTAATCTTAATTCCTCTTATTTTTGGCTCATCCCATTCCCTCCCAGGGGAACAAGATAATAGGTGGTTTTGATAACTAACAATAGAGGAGAAAGAGAAAGGGATGTTAGAGGGAGAAAGGGAGAGAAATGTGACTTGAAAAGAGACTATAAAATTTGAGAGATGAAAGGCAGATAGACCTTACAGAAAGAAGAATGGACAAAGGATGAGAAGAAAAGTAGAGAAGGGAACCAGAGAGGAGTTAGAACCTCAGAAAGTTAAGCAACCTGCAGAAACATGGTGAGACTCTTCCCTCCTAAGGCTCTGTCCCTGGATATACTGAATTTGCTATGAAATACTAACTCATTTCAGCTTCTCCCTCTGTTTTGGGGAAGTGAAGGGAAGACAGAGTTAACTCTTGCTTTAAATTGAACAGGCAACACGAGGAGCCAGTCTGCAGATACCTGGGTCCCACCATCATTATTGGAGCCAGAGTTCGGAGGAGTGACTCATGGAGACAAGAAACCCAGACAAATCAGACACAGCAACGTAACTGGGAGGTAAGGAAAGAGAAAGTGGGGAGCAGGAGCAGAAAACAAGAAAGAATCATGGGGAGCAAAGTAGAGAACCAACCTCATGGACAAAGAAGACACGGGCACCAGTATAGATTCCAACTCGAACCACAGCCCTGACAGCAGCATTCATACCTGCACGGAGGAAAGAAAGAGGTTACTCCTAAGAAAACGGACCTGGACTCTAAGATATAAGACAGCTTTCTCTGAATCTAGAATACTCCCCCCATTCAAGTCTTCTGGCCTCCCAGCTAACATTGACATACTACAAAATTTTGTCTTTCTAAGACCTTTCCTTGCCAGGGGGTGGGAGGAATCTGGGTAATAATAATCTTGAATGCTTATGAGGGGGTTAGACACTGCCTGACGCTTGTCAAATACCAATGCATTTATTTAAGACTATCCATATCCTGGAGTTGCCTCCATTTTACATATTTGGAAACTGAGGTTCAAAGAGGTCAAAGTCACAGAGCTAGGACAAGCCCAGCTTTTAATCCAAGTCCTAAAATGTCTAAATCAACACTGCTGACCTCCATGCTAATCCCAATGACTGTACTAGGCTTTTCCCTGCCTTCTGCGCTGACTCTAGGCATCCAGCTTGAGTAGGCTTTTCAGGACAAAGACATGACTCTTGGAGGCTCAGGGACCTGGTCAATTGCAATCTGTTCCTAAGAATGTCCATTATTGGCTGGTGCATTCTCCCAGTCTCTGCACACACACAGCTTTTTAGTGTCATTGAGTTGGTGTATATTCCAATGTGGCTCACACAGGAGAGATTCTCTGGCTCCCACACCACCAGAAGAGGTTGTGACCAAGTGTGCAGGCAGAATTAGTGGAGGCTCTATGCTCTCCTTCTCCTGTGCTGATCTCCGCCTGTGACCCTGTATGTAAGACGTGTAGGAGAACTTAAAAATTATGCTGTTCTGTTTCCACTGGGAGAAACGATCAGGGCTAAAACAGAGAGCAGAGCCTTTCCCCCTTCTCCCAAATGAGTACTATCCCTCACCTTGTAGCTACTCAATAATGAGAACTCTCTCCCCAGAGTAGGGGGAGGAGCTGACCTGACACAACACACAACACGTGGCGGGGGCTGTGAACGCCTCCACATTAGAAGCAATGCCACTGAGACTGAGCTCAGCATAGCTTCATTGGTGAGACTCTCCTGGGTCTTGATCCTGGTAACGCTGTCCTACCTCATAATGTGAGGAGGCACTCATCGTGTTGCTGAGATGCATCAACTTGTGAACCATTTTAATCATCCTCCCTCGGGTACCCCAGTACACATTTTTGTTTCAGTTTAAAATCTATTCATATGGTCCTTAACCCTGCCTGGAGAAATATCACATACCAGTGAGCACTAGAGAAGCCAGTAATTGGAAAAATCTGCAGTAGCAGACTAAAATCCATCATGAACTACTGCAAAATCCAAAGCTATCTGGAATGCAACAGAATGAAAAAGACCAGAATGTCTGGTTTTGAATTTTGTTGGGATCATAAGGCTAAAAGCTCCAAATGAAATTGAAGGTCCATTCACTTGCTAAACAAATATTTACTGAATACCTATCATGTCCCTGGCACTGGGGATACATCAGGGAATGATGCAGAGACTGGGGATACAAAGATAAAGGACTTGGGAATGGTCCTCTAGACTTGTGAAGAATTATAGGGTGATTCCAGCATGGCTCCATGTGGAGGAGATTTGTAAAAGTGCAGTGGGAGTGAGGAGAAGCAGCATCTCGCCATCAGGAGGGGCTCAGGGAAGGTGGTGCAGCATGTGTGCTGAGACCTAAAGGATCATTTCTTTTTGAATTTTTCTGTGAGGTGGATGAATTTGAGAAGAGTGTTGTAGGCAGGAGGAACAGCACAAATAAAGGTGAAGGTCAAGAAATAGCCTTAGGAAATTCAGTGTTGTTGAGAATAAAGTGTACCATGATAGAGAGATGAAGCCTCCAATGGGCAGGCACCTGTGTGCCCGATGAGGAAGTCTGGTTTTTACTCTGGAGGGCAGGGTTTGATTGGGGATCCATGGGTGATGTTTCCAGGAAATCCATGAACCCTATGAACCTGTATGAAAAGCTTTGTGGGCATGGGCAGTTCTTTTGGAAGAAGAGTCACAGCTTTCATTTGATTCTGAAAGGGGTCTGTAAGCAGGGAAAACAAAAGTTGCAGGCAATGGAGAATCTTGGAAGAATTTTGAGAACAGAGGGATGTGATGAGATCTACGTACCAGAAAGATCACTCTGGCAGCAATGTGGGAGACAGATGAAAAGAAGTGACAGCAGGGTTAGATGGCTGTCTGGCAGCCTAGACAACAAATGATGAGGGCCTAGACTGGGAGAGTGACATTTGGCACAAAACAGAGATATTGGATAGGAGACACCAAGGAAACAGAAGCAACAGGACTCGCATCTAATTGGCAACATGAGTAGATTTCAAGGTGGTGGAGAGGAGGAAGGTGACACCCTGTGACGGACTTAGGCCACGGGAAAAACTGTGGTGCAGTTAACTGAGCAGAGGCAGGTTTTGATTTGAGAAGGGACGGGTGGGGATGATATATTCATACTCGGATATGCTGAGTTTGAAGTTCTTGTGGGACATCCATGTGGACTTGGAAGAGACTGTCTCAAGAAAATATGTAAAATTAGAAGGGTAAAGGGCAATGAGTGGAACCCTGAGGAAAATCAACACTGGAAAAATGGGCCGGGAGAGAGGAGTTCCATGAAGAAAACTCATACAGAGCAGAAGAAAGGCAAGAGGAGAACTGGGACTTAGCAATGTCTTGGAAGCCAAAGGAGACAGTTTCAAGAAGTGGGAACAGTGCCAAATGCTCCTGATGATTGATCTCAGATGAGGACTGAAAGGTTGGGCTTGCCCACAAGAGGTCACTGGTGAGCACTGATGTCAAGCTTACTCATGACATCACTAAGGCAAAGCCCCATGAAGTCTGGAAGTCTAATTGGAGGAATTGAAGGAATAAAATTAGAAAAATCTGTGAAGGGAGGGGGCTTCTCAGAAGCTTTAGGAAAAGCTTGAATGCATGCGTGCGCGCACACACACACACCAAAGTCAGAGTCAACACAAAGCCATCAGTCTTAAGGAAAGATGAATAAAGTCATCTTAATAAGATCGGAACAGATAATGAAACTATTGTTTGTTTATTTTCTAGACTTTCTCAAGGCCTATGGGAGTCTCTTTTGGACATCTGCAGTCCTGGAGTATAAATCTTCAATCTTAAGAAATAAAAAAAATTCTTCTGAAATGTAGAGGTTGGAATGCTGTCTCCTGCTCCCGAGGTAAGTAAGTGTAGGGTAAGATTTAAGGAAAACAAATGACTTCAAAGGTTTTAAGTGTAAAGCAAACAATAGACAGTGGGCAGGGAAAATCCAAATCCATGGGGCAGAAGAAAAACCCCATGACAAAAGAAGATTTTTTTTCTCTTTTCTCCTTCTTACCTTAGCCCTGCCAACCTCCAGAGGGTTTAACTTTGGTGTAAGGTCATCCTTCCTGCCTCTGAACCGGATACCTGAGTGTTTTCCCAGAAATCAAGTTTTAAGACCCCTTCTGTAAGCCTGTACCTGTGTCTCAAACCCCTAGTTCCCTAGAAATCACAGACTGGGCTGTATAGACAGCTTACACTAGAAAGTCCCAGTAATTCTTTGGGCTCTCCTACTTAACATCACTGGCCTATTCTGGCCCCAGGCCAGTCCTGGCCAGGCTCTCCTTGGCTGTTCCATGTTGCCCTAAATAACCCTCTATGAGCAGCTGTCTGACTTATTAGAAGCAAAAAGAAGGATAAGATTACAGGCACCATCCCAGGGGTACTCTGGGTACAGCCAGGAGGAGGGCTCTGGAGAACATCAGAAACACGTACTTTGGAGTCTCCAATTACAGCCTGCCGGGAAGAGGCTTTAAGGAGAACTACAGGTGATGGGTCTCTATAATGTGAGATAGAAAAAAACTAATAAATGACTTGGTCACTACCTTTTTGCTAAAAAGTTTCTTTCTACCTTAACTGAACTTCAAAGAAAAAAAGGACGCGAGGAGCAAATGTTTGTTAGATGTGAATTATACTTTCTGATGGATAGGTAATTAAAAATTGTAAATCCTAGAACAGCAATCCAGAGAGGGCATAGAATCCTGTTCCTATGAACCTTTAAAAATAGGCTAAACATGCATTGGAATGGACTGCCTGTCTGAAGACAGAGGGATAGAGCAGATGACTGAGGTCTTTTCCAGCAGAATATGCTGATTGCATTGGGCCAATCGCAGCATGGTTGTAAGAGGACTGGGACCACTTCTGGGCTGGAAAGGGAGTTAGGATTTAGTATCTAGCTCAGGATGTCTGCTTCCTGGCCATTCTCCTACTTTAGGAGGTTATTAGCCTTGCTAAGCCCAGGGAATGACGGAGCTGAGGCCCCTCTGGATTTTATAGAACCCAAGAAGCCCACAGCCTCCAGGGAAAAACATTTCTGTGCCCTCTCCCTGGGAGAACTAGGGCCCATTAAACCTCTCTGTGCAGGCCAATTCTGTATTTGAGATGCTCTTTCAGCTGGGACCTCTCAGCTCTACTTTGAGTTTTCTGTTTTGCTTCCTTGCCTCCCTAGAATCCCATCCTCTACCACTCTCATCCCCATTGACATGCCCCTGTGATGTTATGTGCATTTGCAGTGGGATGTTTCCCTGGACACACTGTGCCTGTCTCAGAATCCCATAGGCCTTAGTCCAGTTGGGCCCTCAGAAATGAGCTTATCAATAGCCCCTGCTCCACAGATGACATTTCCCTTAAAGCAGGTGATGGTCATCTCCGGAATAAGAGGGTCTCTCTGCTCAAGATCAGGAGCTGGAAGGGCTCGGCCGCTCTTACACCAAAGTTAAACCCTAGGCCTTTTTTTTTCCCACCTCTTTCCCTCTGCAGAAAGCTCTGCTCTTTCATAATTTCAAAACTCTGTGTGCCTCACCTGGACTTTTTTAGCAGGTTCTCACTTCCCCTAATCTGACAACCTAATTCCACAGGCCATCCTACCACGGTTTTAGGCTCAATAGTCAGAGTTCATGTTGAAGAACTCAGTACTGGCGTGGGATTCTTTCCAGGAGAGAAGAGAGAAGCAACAGAAACCAAGTCAGCAGTCTCTATGGCCTCAAGGACGGCTCTGCATTCCTAATCCAGCTACTATTTCTAAACGCAGGTCTCTGCCCTCCTTCCTCAGTTTCCACATTCTAGCATTCTCCTGTTCGTAATATATCACAATTGTAACTCAATAAACATTAGTTTATTTAATATACTTAAATATATTAGTCTAAAATATAAAGTCTAGCTTTACTAATATACTAATAAGGATCACAAAAGCGTCTCAACATGTGACTCTTCCACTGATATATCCTTCGTGCCGACCATCCTGCTTGGCACACAGCAGATGCTCAACAGTTCATTCTTTATTTAATTAGTAACGCATTTATTGCACCAGGCACTGTTCTAAGCACTTCACTTGAATGAAGAGTTCAGTTTCTTGAAATCTATCTTCTCCATGAAGTTCTCCCTGGTTAATACAACCAAGGCCTATCATTTCATTATATAAGTGGATTCTACTTGGTTAAGACACACACTTAGTTATTGTTATTTATGTGACTTACATAAGAATTCTAGTAATGTATGACATCCTTCCTCATTAAACTAAAGTTCCCAAAAGAAATCAACCTCTTCACCACACACAAGACAGGGCTCTATATAAAGTGGGTGCTTAACACAAAGTCTAGGAAAGCCTTTAGGGAGAGTGGTGCAGAGAGAAGGGGAGACCAGCTGAAATCCCCTTCTTTCCCTCCTTTTCTCATCACAGTCCCCATGTCCTTGTACCCCTTTCAAAGAGAGTCTGCCTCTCTTCAACATATTACAAATTAGAATATACATCACAGAGGAAAAAAAGTTTTAAAAAAATCCCCTGTCCCCTATCTCCCTCTTCATCTTCCTATACACCTGGTATTTCTGACTCCCAGATTTCTAGGATTCAACCCAGAGATGGGTTCTCTCTGGCTTTGCTTTCTGCTCCCTGCCCCACCCCTCCGCATGTATATATACTAATTAATGCTGCCATTGCTGTTTGTTCAAGGGATAAAGGAATGGATGGGGAGGAGAGGCCAGAGAAAACAGAGAATGACCCAGAAGAGTGCCTAACAGGAGGAAATATGCTGTGAGAGTGAGGTACCTGACCCTGGTCAGTGCAGGAACGCTGCAGACATCAGAGTTGGCACCTGAAGCCCAGCTAGGGCCCATCAAACACCAATTCCAAATCTCCTCCTTTTCCCATCATTTCCAATGGACTTGAAGTGAATCCACCTACTGCCTTTTCAACAATTTTTAGTCTCCTTCCTTCCAAAGGTGCTTGAGAAAACACCAGTCTTCTAGGTACCAAAGTACCAAAATAGTCCCAAATCTTCAGAGAAACTTGGAAAAAAGTTTTAGGAAGATTTGAGTAAATAAAAGTAGAGCAAATGAAATCCAAAAGCATTTGGGGACTTAGACCTAACAGATTTTTGGAAAGTCCAAGATTCCAGTGTGACTCTACAGCAGGAAGCTCTTAAGGAGGATAGTTCTGTTGTATAGACTAAGAGAGTCAAGAAATTTAAGGGGGCCGCCCAGCCAGGTTTTTATCTCTCCCCAAGCAGGGCCCTCCTCCTTACCTTGGGCATCACCACCAGAGGTTAACACGGCGATGGCTTTGCCGACCCCCAGGGTTTTGGCTGCATGGTGCTCCTCATGGGTCATGATCCACTCTAGAATTCAAGAGAATGATCAGTTAAGACACAGCTGAGTCAAGACGCCACGAGCTTGGGAAATGGCTCTGTTAGACTCGCTAAGGCCACCTCAGCCAGGCTCTCCCACTATACTGAGTCTGGGCTTTCCAGCCTGGGATCTTTGGACTTCTTCCAAAAGAGAGCCACACCCCTGCAAAGGGACAAGCTGAAATGTCACAGTAATCAAGCCCAAGACTGCAAAAGCCCTGGCTAATCCCTTGCACCCCAACTGGAGCCGATTTGGAGAATAAGATAAGGTTACAGAGAAGGGCAGGTGACTGGTCAGAAATGAGAAAGGAAGGAGAAAAGTTAAATTAGCCTCAAAGATTCCTCCCTTTTAATGAAGGGAAGGGCTGCTGCAGAGGATAGGAATCAGATAAGGTTTGGGGCACTGAGAACCAGCAAGGTAGAAGCAGAAAAGCAAGGGTAGGTTGGCCTACAGTTAAGATTGGGGTTGGGGGTCATGGAATTGGGCTAAGTTGGAGCTGAAGTTGGAGGTTACAAAGGCACGTTGGAGCTTGGGCAAATAATGGTTCAGGCTCAGGAATGGTTAGGGACTTCCTGTGGCTTTTTCCATCCCTCTCAGGGCCCTGCCTCCTGACATCTCTTGATCCTTTACCTTCAGGCCTTACCCCTCACACTAAACACTATCGAATGGGAAGAGGAACACAAAAGCTCTGCCACACATACACAGATATGCACAGATGACAGGTGAACACCTTCATATTTTTGTCTTTAGGGCTTATCTCTCTCAAAGGAAAACACAAGACATAGTTTTGTATCTATAAAATGCCAGTGGAATCATCAGTCTCCCAGTTATCCACGCTAACCTCTGTTATTTTTAGAATTTATCTCCTTACTCTCAGAATCAAAACAGTTACCAAACCCTATTATTCTCCCTTCTTATGATCTTCCCTTATCCTTCTCCACTTTCCTGCCCTCACTGCCTCTTTCCACCTGATTTGCTTACTACAATAGCTGGTCTCCCTCTGCTTGTGCATCCCTTCTCCACTCTATTTGAGACACAAAATAAGCCTCCATGGGAAGGTTATGGGCCCCTAAGGCCTCAGTGGAGAGAGGATTCATTCACATCCACAGGGGCTGATGACCTTAGAGCACAGCTTTCATGTTTTTGCTGTGAATCCAGGGAAATCAAGATAGCTGCTGATAAAGACATAGGTCATATCAACACACAGATCCACACACATGCCAATAAAACATGTGCAATGACACACTCATGAAGAAAAACATATACAAACACACATGCTGTTATTAAGAAACACAGATTCACAGACATACTACACATAATTAGTGCTGACAGACGAAGCCCAGACGTCTTGGGTTGGCATTCAAAGCTTCCATGATCTGGTTCTTGCCTAGAGCTTCAACCCTTGCTCCCATAAATTCTCTGCTCCATCATCACCTGAACATTACTTTGCTCCCCACGACTTCTATGCCTGCGCGTACAGCATTGCTGGGCCAGAAAGCCATCGTGGCTCTTTCCACAGATCAATATTCTACTCCATCATTTAAGACCAGTCCTAGTCACATCCCTATTAAACCTATTTAAGCCTTTACTGATTACCAAAGGTCAAGGAGGGCTTCTTTCTGGACCTCCTCTAATCACATATTGTCTGGAACTGGATCACTCATTTGGCACTTAATTACTACTTTATGTGATATTTTAATTGCTTCTTATATATTGAAAAGAGGGTTGGACTAGATCAGGGGTCAACAAACTACAGCCCATGGGCCAAATCCAACCCTTCTAGTTAATGTTTTTGTATGGCAGCAAACTAAGAAAGATTCTTACATTTTAAATGTCTGAAAAACAGTTTCATGACATGTGAAAACTATATGAAATCCAAATTTCAGTGTCCATAGCACTCATGTTTGTTTGCATATTACCTATGGCTGCTTTTGCGGTGTGACAGCAGAGTAGATTACTGAGACACAGGCTTGATAGCCTGCAAAGCCTGAAATATTTACAGTCTGGCCTTTAACAGAAGAAGTTTGCAGACACCTGGACTAGATGATTGCTAAGGTCATTTCCCGTAACTAGACTGAAACTCCTCCAGGGAGGAAGCATATTCATTTTTTAAACCAAAAAAACTCACGAAGTCTATGCACATGACAACAGGAGTTCATTAAATTCTCATCGAGAGCATTTGTGAACTGACAACACGAGAGGCACACAAATATAGGAGCATTTTAAATACGCTTGGATACAGATATACCCCCATCTTCCCTCTGCTTCTAACAAATTCAGATACAAATAGGTATTAGGGTGCAGATAGTGACAAACAGAATACAAACACACATGGATAGAGATACTCTCTTATTTAACCAGAATGTTCATGGCCAAATTTCTGCAGTTCTCAGAAAAGAAAGACTAAATGGTGCATATAAGAAGGCAAAAATTGGGGAAGGAAAGAACAAAACATATGAGTACTATTGCTGACCCCCTTTCCCCCTGAGTATTTCCTTCTCATTCACTCGGGGAGCTCATCACTGATAGAAATCCATACAGGCATCTTCCACCCCCGGAGGCGTCAGTGAATTCGTCATAACAGGGGGAAGGCTCAGAGTGCTGACCTGCAAGAAACAGCTCAAATTCTTCTGCATCTCTAAAATTGTTATAGAGGCACAGGACACGGCTATGCACGCAGATTTATAAATAAACAGATCCACAGCGACACACACATAGACACGGACATGTTAAACCTATATATAAAATCACGTGTGTGTAGACAAGCACGCGGGAGGGAGAAATACAGGACAGGCAGCATCATAGGTGCACTGATTTGAACTGGATGAGTGCCAGGGTAGGAGTCGGGCAGCCGAGAACAACGAGGTCCGAGCACCACCCACCCACCCCGGATTCCCAGGGAAAGGGGCAATGCGTGCAAGCCGAGGGAGGCCAGCCAAGGGGCTAGGATTCTTCCCGACTCCCCTACCCATCCCCCCTCTCAGCTCCTGCTCTGATGCTACATCACCTCTTCTTTTCCCTTCTGCTCGTTTCAGTTCTCCCCACCGCCTCCTGCCAGCACGTTTATTCCCACCTCGCTCTCAGCTTTCCCCCTCGCTCTTTACCCAAGGGCCCCTCTTGCCTTTTAGTCTCAGCTCTCCTCCGCCCGGGCTTCCTTGCAGATTGTCCTTGGGGAAAGGGGGAGGGGAGCTTGGCGAACACGGGGAGGAGCCAGGTGGAGGCAACAGGGGAGGGGAAAGAGGAGAGGCTTTCCAACCTCCACTAGCTGATGCTGACCAGGAGGCTCCGCCTCCTCCTGCTGGCTTTTCTCCTCCCCTTCCTCCTCCCCCTAAGAACACAGCTCAAATATGACATCTCCTTCGTTTCTTCACTCCCCAGAGGGTTCTGGGGTTCCCCGCATCTATCTCAGGAATCATCAGCTCCTGTATGCAGTGGAAATCAGAAATCCTTCTTGTCTGCAGAAACAATTTTTTCCTAGCCTGGACTGCCTGAGACCCCTTTGCATTCAAACATCCTCAGCAACTAATAATAGACCTACCCCTCCGGCCCTATCCATCGTCTCCTATCTCTATCACTCTATGAACATGTATTGGTAGTCTGTGTGCCAGGTTTTGTATTAGGTGCTGAGAGGTGAAAAGATACATGCAACAGAATCCTGTCCTTGAGGAACATTGATCACTGATATTTTCTATAGAGGGCCCTCAAAAACTCCTTTTACATTTACATACCTTCCTCAGAGAAAATACAGAAAAGCTAACTAGGAATGAGAGTACCAAGAGGCAATACCCCTGCTGTGATAGCCCCATTCTCAAGCCTGCAGTAGAAGGGGTGCAGGATTCTGATAGTGAAGCAAGCATATCTGGTGGGCCACAAAGCAAACAGAATCCATCCTGGGAACAGTACTGCCAATGCCAAGAGGTGCATCCTTTCCTCAGATCCTCTTAACTCTTTGCGCTGCTCCACCTACGTCTTTGTTTCAGTGCCTCTCCACAGTCATCTCTCATCTCCCTGCTGTTTCTACTGCCCTTCCACTTGCTTACTTTTGTATCTGTACCTGCACATTCTGCAAACAATAAGAATGCAAATGACTAGAAGATAAAACCATTGGACTACACAAAATTAACTTCTGTGCTGCAAAAGTTGCCATCCAAAAAGTGAAAAGACAACCCATAGAATGGGAGAAAATATTTGCAAATCATATATCTGATAAGGGACCAGGTATCAAGAATACATAAATAACTCTTGCAACTCAATAATAAAAAGATAATAACCCAATTTTAAAAATAGGTGAAAGATATCAATAGATACCTCACCAAAGAAGATATATGGATGCAAATAAGCATGTGAAATGATGCTCAACATCATATGTCATTGGGAACTGCAAATTAAAGCAGAGACACCACTACAATCTATTAGAATGAAAAAGAAAAAGAAAAAAACCTGACACTACCAAATACTGACTGGAATGTGGAGCAACAAGAGCTCTCATTCTTTGTGCAAATGCAAAACAGTACAGTCACTTTAAAAGATAGTTTGGCAGTTTGTTACAAAGCTAAGTATAATATTCCCATATGATCCAGCAACCACACTCCTAAATATCTACCCAAATGAGTTGAAAACTACATCTATACAAAAATCTAAACGTGGACCTTTACAGCAGCTTTATTCATAATTGCCAGAAACTGGAAGCAACCAAAATGCCCCTGAAAAGGTGAATGGATAAATAAACTGTGATACATTCATACAATGGAATATTTCCTCGTTATTCAACAATAGAAATAACCTATCAAGCCAAGAAAAGACATGGAGGAACCTTAAACATATATTGCTTAGTGAAGGAAGCCAGTCTGAAAAAACTACATACTGTATGATTCGAACTATATGACATTCTGGAAAAGGTGAAACTATAAAGACATTGAAAAGATCAGTGGTTGCCAAGGGCTTGGGGTAGAGATGGAGCAATAAATAGGTGGAGCACAAGGGATTTTCA